TTCCCCCAATTTAGTCTTTATCAACTCTTTATCACCTACTCAAAATAGATGTCAAATTCTTTAGAATGGTCTAGAGAACATTCCATGATTTGAATTTCATGTTTATATTCAACTATGTTTCTCCATGTTTATCTTCTTTCTATTCCAAATCATACTACCTCAGCTCCAGTTCCAGAAATGCCTGTATTGTTTCATGTTTCTATGTTTGTTATATGTACTACACACTGTGAAGAACGCTCTACCTTTTCCTTATCTACCACAGCTATTCTACAATATCCATAGCAGCATGATTTTTTTCTTTTGTTTTTGTTTTGTTTTGTTTTGGGGTCACACCTGGCAGTGCTCAGGACTTATTCCTGACTCTGCACTCAGGAATGAGTCCTGGTGGTGCTCAGGGTGCCCAGGGCTAGAATCTGGATAGGCTGTATGCTACACAAATGCACTCACTACCCACTGTACTATCACTCTGCCCCCCTGACCAGCATCTTTTTTATCTCTGACTTTTCTTTTGTTCCACATCTAGACTTGGTAAGGGCAAATTAGATGGTTTCATACCATTGTTGCAGTTGTTTATATATATATTTTTTCTACTAAACTGAGACAGGGACTATATCTTATGCATATTTGTACTTTTGTTATCTAGGGCAATACCTGGCACATGCTAAACGAATAAATAAAGTTTTGCAAGCATAAATTTTTTTGTCTTTATATGTTTAGTGTTACTGTGAATAAAATTTATTTTTAATGCTTGATTTTTATTTTATTTTTTTGCCTTTTGGGTCACACCTGGCCATGCACAGGGGTTACTCCTGGCTCTGCATTCAGGAATTACCCCCGGTGGTGCTCAGGGGACCATATGGGATGCTGGAAATCGAATCAGCCGCGTACAAGGCAAACACCCTACCTGCTGTGCTATCGCTCCAGCCCCTTAATGCTTGAATTTAAAAAATAAATTGTGTTACTATATATAGCGGGTAGGGCGTTTGCCTTGCATGCAGCCGACCCTGTCGACCCGAGTTTGATTCCTCTGCCCCTCTTGGAGAGCCCGGCAAGCTACCGAGAGTATCTCACCCCCACGGCAAAGCCTGGTAAGCTACCCGTGACGTATTCGATATACCAAACACAGTAACAACAAGTCTTACAATGTTACTGGGCCCTCTCGAGCAAATCGATTGAACAACAGGAGGACAGTGACAGTGATAGTGATATATAGTACCTAAAGCAGCATTTTTAGCAGAATGAGATATAAGATATACTGTTTCAAAACACTATAAAAATAACATTTGATGACTTCTTTAAACATTAATTTTCAGGATTGGAGAAATAATACAGTGGGTAGGGCATTTGCCTAATAATGATCAACCTGGGTTTGATCCTTAGCTCTCCATAGGGTTCCTAAGCACCTGCCAGGAGTCACTCCTAAGGAGTAAGTTCCCTCAAGCACAGCTGGGTATGGCTCCAAAACAAAACAAACAAAAAGATTTCAAAATATTGTTTTAAAAAATTAATTTACTGGTTTTGGAAAGATAGAACAGTATCTCTTGCTTTGTATATAACTGGCTGCTTTGATTCCTAACACCACATATGATCTCCTAAGCACCACCTGAATAATCCCAGAGCACAGAGCTAGGTGTTTCCTCAACACTATCCAATCTTAATTTGCGATTTTTTTTCATTTAAAGACCAATAAAATAGTGCACTAAAATTTCTATAGCCTTTGTTTTATGATAAACAAGTACTGCTAATTTATTTGGTTTATAGTTAAGAAGACAGAGATTAAGTTGAATGGAAATAGCATTGAAAGAAAACCTTGAAAATGAATTAAGCAGATGTTATAATTTGGGAATCTTTGAAAAAGTCTGATAGAATCCTGGAAGGTCTTGAAGGTATGGGGAAAGGTGAGGAAGAGGACAAAAAAAAAGTAATAAATAAATCAATAAGTAAAAATAGCACTGTAGAACTGTCCTCTCGTTGTTCATTGACTTGCTCAAGCGGGCACCAGTAATGTCTCACAACAAATTGTGATGCTTGTTGTTACTGTTTTTTGCATATCGTATACGTAATGGGGAGCTTGCCAAGCTTTGCCGTGTGGGTGAGATGCTCTCGATAGCTTGCCGGGCTCTCTGGGAGGGGCGGAGGAATCGAACCAGGGTTGGCCAAGTGCAAGGCAAACGCCCTACTTGCTGTGCTATCGCTCCAGCCCAAGTAAAAATAAATAAATACATAAATAAATAAATAAAAACTAAACTAAAAATTTACCTGCTGGACATCTAGACATTGTTAGGCATCTTACATGCTATTTTAATGTAATCCATAATAATGACCCTCTGAGGTGGATATTGTTATCCACATTCCACAGATGAAGGAGGTAACATGAGATATTAAGTAACGTCCAAGTTCTTGTAGCTACATCATGGTAACCACATTTGACTGATGCCAAAGTTTCTTCCTTAATAGCCTATTTATCTGCCTTCCAAATAAAATTCCCCAAGCAACAGTGTTGTGTGTTCAGTTTGATTACATATACGAACATATGTTATTTGCTCTTGTTGCAATCATCATATGGAGGTATTTCATCTAGTAATTAACAGAAATGTGACTGTAATTTTACCTTCATTCCCAATGCACATTTAAACATTGCTAATAAAAAATAATGTCACATTTATTGATGATGCTAGAAACAGACTAGACAGAGCTCTTGAAAAACAGGGTAATTACATTGTTGGCAGATTTGGTGGAGAATGCATGCTTCCAATTTTTTCTTTGCTGTGAACTGATGCTGGCTCTATTTGAAATCCAGAAAGAACTGCGGTCTGGGGTAAAAGGCAGTTTGCTCTTGCTGCCTCCTGTACATTGCTTGACCTGGCAGTTTGTCACTCTCCTGGGCAAGAATCCAGCTTGTGGTAGTGAGGTGGTTTTGTGGCAGAACTCCACAATTAACCACAAGTTCAGTGTCAACGGTAGGCTGCCACCATCATAGCTGTGATCCTTCAGATCTGCTAGGATAACTCGAGCTGAAGAAACAACTGCTTGTCTAAGCAGGGAATAGGAAAACTTGGAAAGAGTTTGCATTGCTGTTTATTGTTCAAGGTTCAAGTTTTAGGTTTAATAAATTTTTTTCTTGTATTCCCTGAATATCTTGCATTTTAGATTAGTAGTCATAGATTTAACACTTTTTCCAGGTGTTTTTGGTAGAGGTATAAATATATTTGTAGGGTAAATAGAAGTATAGCTTTAAAAATGAGAAGCAGTAAAAGAAAAATTCTTAAGGTATTAGAAAGAGTACTTTAGAGTACTGTCTTTAACAGTAAAAGAACATAATTCTCTAAAATATTTTCTTTATGTTGGAAATTAAATCAAACATTTATATAATACCTTCCATAAATTTAAGATAAAGGGTTTTCTTTTTACTGATTTTTTACAAATGGATGACAAAATTATTATCTTTTTAATGCCATAACAGTAACTTTGTATTAAATAAGATTTATTTTTAATAATTGGCAGCAAAATAAAAGAAATCAAAAGACAGACAACTAAATTCTGGTTTATTGCTTGTTTTGAGAAATACAAGTATATTCAAATTTCTTTGAACACTTTTTGAGTACTTTGCTAGTCATGATGTGGAGATTGAACTGATTGAACAAGACAGAATTTTTGTGTTTTAAGAGTACATTGAAAGGACAGCCATATTAATAAAGAACAGAGCATAAACCTTTTTATAACAAGTACTAACAACAAGCTCAGCTGGGAGGAATAGGGTTTCTCTGGTCATTTATCTTAAAGGAGCTCAAGTGAAAGAATGCTGGTACTCGCATTCTGATTACAGAATTCTCCCTGAGGAATTCTCAAGAGCAGCAGAAGACCCTGGAGATTATGTTGAAGTGGGTGGCCCATGCGTCTGCTGGCTGATGAGCTGCAGATATCCACGTATGCCCTTGGGCTCCTGAGTGGCCACGTGACTGTATATTTGACCTCACTAGATTGCAGTCTTGTCTGGACTACCCTTTAACAAACATAGCAGGCTGATGCTGATGTGGAGGAACCAGAATCTGTCCACTTGATAACTCAGGAGCACCTTTGTAGAAAACTGCACACAGTGCCACTAAGCTAAACTCAGTCTCCAGCATTCAGAGGCAGGGTGATAAGAGCTGAGGATTTAAAACAGGCACTGGAGTTTGGCCAGAGGCCCCTGGGGATGGAGGGGTGAACAATAATGAAAGGTTCCAAGCAGCACCTCCCTGATGCTAACCTCCATTAAACATACTGGAGTTATTCTTGAGCTCCAAATCTTTGACCTGCAGAGGTCTCGCTCTTCCTTATGCTGTCCTGGATTCTGTCCAGTCCTGCCAGGCTGCCTGATGGCTGCTGCTAATCCAACATGCTGGTCTTCGGGGTGGGGGATGGGGCCTTCTTGTAGTGAAGCTTCAACCCGGAGCCTGCACAGAAGCTGATCCTTCACCAGGTCTCCAAAGCCCATGCCAAGGTCTCCCTCCAGGCCAAGTCTAAGAGATACTTTAACATCTGGTTAAGAGCATCTGTGGTAGCTTGGTTGTCTACTTACAGATCTCTGTGGATGTACAGAGCAGAATATAATGAGATACTGTGATCTGTTGGCCTGGGGTCCCCAGCCCTGGTCCCCATCTGGTGAGCAGAGGTGAAAGGATTGCAATGAAGGATCTGGGTGGCTTTTGGATGCCAGGCCTGTAGGGGACTTCTTATAAGTCTAGGATTTTCTCTTGTTTCAAAGCGGCATTCAACCCATAGCATGTCAAGGTGTCATCTCTAGAAAGGTTGGAGGAACAGTTTTCCCAGGGGTGGTATGTCATTGGGTCGGGAGTGTCCACCTATTAGCTCTTTGCTGGCCAGCCACACAGTGTTTAGGGGCATCTCCTGAGTTGTCCCATTCTTCTTGGTAAAGCAAGTTTTAACTGGAACAAGAGAATAAATGAGTCTTTCTGCTAGCTATCCTGTTTATTTTTCTTCTTCTTTTTTTTTAAAAAATTTGTCTTAAACTAGCCCCTGTGCTACATGGCAGAGTATGAGCCCTGTGAAGCCAACTTCAGTGTTACTATCCCTCCTTTTATGACCAAGAGAAGTGTTCAGATCCGATGTGAAAGGGAACATGAGGGTCTGATTATTTTTTGAGTAGTGATCAGAGAGAGTAGGGAAAGCGGACTTTTCTGGATTTTTCTGACCAGAAAAGGGTTGCTGCAAGGGAGCCTGGAGTATCCTTCTCACCCAGGCTAGAGTCTTGTTTTCTGTATGCAAATAAAGGATTTGTTTGGGAAAAAAATGAACCCTCACTTCCATACTTGGATCATATCATTTCCCTACATGTCCTCATTCTTTACATTTTTGTTCTTTGCCCCCTTCAAACCTTACACTCCAGTGATCAGATTCTTGACATTATTCAAATGCATCAATGCTGCCATTTTTTAGATTTTTCCATACATTCGCTTCCTTTTTCCAGAATATATTTTCTCATTTAGGCAACTTTTGCTGCATCTAGAAACCTCTTTCTCTGACTCCCCAAGAGCATTTTCCCCTTGGAACCAACAATCCCATCCTGGTCTGTTTTAGGTGTCTTTCATCTGAGCTCCAGACCATACTCAGCTTACTCACTTCTAGGTTGCAGATCGTATTAGACTGGGCCCTACTAGTCTTTTTACTTTTTCTAACTTCCACTATGTATGCTTAGGGGTACAAATCACTCTTTTCTCAGGTCTTTAACCACAGTGACCAGCTTCATATCAAGGCCCTAAATGATAAATAAATGAATGCATTCATCAAGGGACGGAGGTTAAATGTGGGTGGAGAAAGATGTACGGGAAGTGAGAAAGTAAAAGAAGTGAGGGAACTGAAAGTAGAAATGAAAGAGAGAGGGTGGGGCAAAGAGAAAAAGATATAACAGCATTTAGATAGACACTGGTGAGAAAACTGGCACTAGAAGAGGCAAAACAAACCATGAAATGATCTGAAACAACCACACAGTGAGGACTCTGGGAAAAAATGACTCTTGTCTTCTTAAATAGGTCTGCAGCACTTTTTCTGACAGTTTTGCTTAAAAAAGTCATATATTATCTTGTGTTTTTTCACTAGTCTATAGTATCTATCTATAGGTCCAATCAGCCACACAGACTTGCAGTTTGAGGAAGCTTTTTTAAACTATAGTTTTAAATGCCTTAAATATATCTAGCACAGTGTTTTGTATGCAGTGGAAACTCAAGAAATACTTGATAATATGAACTAGAGAAAGAATCGAGTAAGTAATTTTGATAATAGTATTAAGTTAGAAGGAAAATATTTTTCACCAACTTAGGCAATAGAATAACTGCACATTGAAAACAAAGTGATTGTTTTTTTTTGGCAGGGACCACATCTGGTAATGCTCAGGGCTTACTCCTGGCTCTGTGCTCAGGGATTAATCATGGCACTGTTCACAGGACCATACAGAGTCTCAAAGATCAAACCCATGTTAGCCACATGCAAGGCTAGTTCCCTACCCACTGTACTATGTCTCCAGCCCCCTAAAAACAAAATGATTCTTTTGTCCAGAGAGACTGCAGAGAGTTACGAGTTCATGCACTAATCTGGATTTGATTCCCAGGACTGCATATAGTTATCCTGAGCACTGCCAGGAATCATCCCTGAGCACAAAACCAGGAGTAATTTTTAAGAAGAGCCAGGAGTAAGCCCTGAGCACAGTTGGATATGGCCTAAAAACCAAACCAAACAAACAATTAAAACAAATAAAAATGATTCCTCCTGAGGCCTGGAGATGACTCAGGGGTTAATATGCCTGTCTTGCAAGTGCGAGGCTATGAACTGGGTTCCCAGTACTGTTGCATGTACAGAATGCATTCCTGGCAATTTTGCTGTTAGAAATTCCCAGCACTGCAGGGGATGTAGTGGCTGCACTGCAACCAGGTTTGTGTAAGCAATGCAGTACAAAGGCGGAGTGATCTCTGGAGAGCACAGCAACTCCTGCAAGCACTACAGCAATGGAAATAAGGGCCGCAAGACATGGCAGATGACTAAAATGTGTGTGCATCACAACCAAGGACGTGCATTACTCCCAGTTAGAGCAACAACAAGATCAGAATAGAGAAGGAAAGAAGGAAAATTAAAATTGAACACACACACGGGGGGGGGGGGGGAGAGAGAGAAGGACAGAGAGACAGAGAGAGAGACAGAGAGAGAGAGAACAGAGTAATCCTTTCTATATAGGAAGAAAGTCAATCTTTGTTCTTCAAATGTAGGTTTGAAAACATTAATTCTAAAAGCTTTTGCTGGTTTCCTGTATTTTAAGGAATGGATTTGGTTTTGGGAATTTGGAATAATTCTGGCTAATTTGTTGGGCATTTTAAAAATCTCATTTATATTTAAAATTTCTGAAATTGCTTTATATCATTATCCCTGAGAAATTAGAGTTGTTTTATTACTAAATTCTGAAAAATTACATTTTAGGAGAAAAACCCTCAGTTCTTTAGCATTTTCCCAAATCCAATTCAAAGTCATTTTTCAATGGTCTATTTCAGAGGTTTAAAATCTTCCTTTGTCCACATCTATGTTCTTTCCTTCCTCTTCACTTTCACTCTTCTACCCTATATTCCTCTCTTCCGCACTCTCCACTTCCCATCCTCCTCCCTGTCTTCCTTTCTTCCCTCCTATGTTTCCTCTTTCCCAAGTGTTTCAATGAGGGGTTTCAGGTCATAATAGGAGGTAAATTCAGAGACCTAGTTGTCAGCCTCTGGACCTGAACACCCCACTTCCAATTAGAGCCGTCTGTTTTTATTTGCATAACATTTATTTATTTATTTTGAAAAATCATTTGAAAACCATGGCTAAGAATTGACAATGCAGAATGGGTACAGTAACTATCTGTTAGTCATTATCCCCTACTTTTCAACCACTCAGGAAATCTTTAGAGGCTGTTCTGTAAGTCATCTGATCAAAAGGAGTCATCTGATCATGGCACAGTGATAATGACTGGATAGAGCATTATCCCTCGTCCATCCTCTTACATCTCCTTGCCTAACGTTTATCTCATCCAACCTTTTGTATTCACTTTATCCAAACTCTCTCATATCCAATCTCTTGCATTCCCCTTTACCTCCATATAGTCCATAAGAACTCTAATAGTGCTCTAATAGTTTAATAGTTCTAATAGCCTAATATTTCTAATAGTCCATAAGAACTCTAATAATTCCTGGAGCTGGAGTGATAGCACAATGGGTAGCGCATTTTCCGTGCATATGGCTGACCCGGGTTCGATTTCCAGCATCCCATATGGTCCCCTGAGCACTGCCAGGAATAATTCCTGAGTGCAGAGCCAGGAGTAACCCCTGTGCATCGCTGGGTGTGACCCACCAAAAGCAAATAAACAAACAAAAATGAACTCTAATAATTCTCTAATACTCTAGTAGTCACCAGTAGATTTAGCAGTGAAGATCTATCTGAACATACTATTCTAGAAATAATATTCCTCTCATCTGGATTTTAGTTAGGAAATAATCTTACCTTTCTTAAAGAAGGTTGAAAACACAAGACAGGGACAGGGTGTCTCACCAGAAAATTGGTCAGTTGGGGAGGAGGAACTGAGAACTAACATGAGGCCAATTTGTTATTTTGGTTTCTCTGAGGATGAACGTTCAAGAAGAGAACAAGGGAATTTACAGAAGGGGCAATTTCTAGTTCAGCAGTGATGAGCCCCCAAGAGATCCCAGATTAAAAAAAGGGGGGCTGTTTGGCAGTTGGCCTGAATCCAGGAATGGATAATTTCAAAGAGTGTATGCATGATTTGATAAGTGGTGAAACCTCTAGAAGCTCTGTCTATGGGAGCCTAGCTAGGGACCTAGCCACTCGCTTAGTCTTTAGCGGGAGAGCTTTTGACCCTGAGACTGGAAAGATCTGGCAGAGTTTTAGTTTCACAATTAATTGAAGGTACATAGGAAAAGTCTTTGAAACTAGAGGGCAAGCACCCCATTTTATTTTATCTATTGAATCACTGTGAGATACACAGTTGTTCATGATTGAGTTTCAGTCATACAATGGGTTTCAGTCATACATTATAAAGTTACAAATGTATCACCAGTATACATTTCCCACTACCAATCCTGCAACTTACCCCGAAACCACCCCAGCCTGCCTCTGTATCAGGTACTTTTTCTCTTTTTCTTCTCTCTCTCTCTTTCTCTCTCTCTTTCACCCCACCACCTCTCTCTCTCTCTCTCTCTCTCTCTCTCTCTCTCTCTCTCTCTCTCTCTCTCTCTCCCTTCTCGTTTTGAAAACTACGGCTAGATTAGAATGCATTGCACTATAATGACTGGAGAGTTGGGAGTTAGAAATTGGAGAGTGATCCTAGTGATCATATATATATTGGATATATATGATCCTCATATATTTGGATTAATATATGAGGAAAGCACTGTAGCACTGTCGTCCTGTTGTTCATCGATTTACTCAAGCGGGCACCAGTAACATCTCCATTGTGAGACTTGTTGTTACTGTTTTTTGGCACATTGAATATGCCACAGGGAGCTTGCTGGGCTCTCCAAGAGGGATGGAGGAATCAAACCTGGGTCGGCCGCATGCAAGGCAAATGCCCTACATTCTGTGCTATTGCTCCAGCCCATGTGGAAAGCAATCAGGGAAAATGAAGCTAAGTTCGAGAGTGATGAGAAATCTCAAACATACGCTGTGACGTTAGATCTTTCTCACAGTAATAAAAATATATATGTATACATTCCCCTCACCCCTATGATTTTACATAGGTGAATATGTGATATGCCCTTTACCACCAATCTATATCTTTGTTCCTTTATTTTTGGTGATGCGGGGGTGGGGGGGGCGGGGAGACATACTTGACTGTGCTCAGGGATTACTCCTGGCTTTGTGCACAGGGATCATTCTTGTTGGTGCTTGGGAGTCGATATGTAATGCTGAGAATTAAACAGGTTGGGCACGTGCAAGGGGAAAAAAAAAAAAGGCCTCTCTTGCCTGGTCTTACATTTTTGAACAGAAAGACAAGAACTAAGATAATTCTGGGTGTTTAACTCTGCAGGCATTAGGCTTCCAATCCCAGCCACAGCACTGCCCTAAATGCTGGATGTGATCCTGGCAGCATTGCC